CAATTTTTGTCATGATCTCATTGGGAAGGGATGGCGATCTCAAGGAGAAATCACAGGTGTGCAATGCTCACAAGCGTCAACTATCTGCTAGGAGAAGGCTTTGGGAGTTGAAGAGAAGGGATTAGCCTGAGCCTTCTCTGGGGAGAGTGGGGTTTCAGAGACTGAGGGCATAGAGGACAGCAAGTTCGGGGGCTGCTATCTTTTTAAAAAGTTGTCTGTTTGAGAGGGAGGGAGGGAGGAAGAGGGAGAGGGAGATGGAAAGGGAGAGGGAGAGGTGGAGGGGCACTTCCATCTGCTGGTTCACTCCCCAAATGCTCACAACAGCCAGGTCCAGAAACTGAACGCAGATCTCCCAAGTGGGTACCAGGAGTCCAACCACTTGAGCCATCACCACTGCCACCAGGATCTGCATTAGCAGGAAGCTGGAGTCAGGAGCTAGAGCCAGATGTTGAACCTCATTCAATACTGGACTGTGCTGTGGGATGCGGATATCCTAATCGCTAAGCCAAATGCATGCTCTGGAGGCTAATCCTTTCATCTGCCCAATATTTAGAGGGGTGTCTTGAAGGCTGCAGGCTGAGCACCCAGCCCAGAGAGTAATAAGCAGGTTGTCCCAGTCTGGAGAGCAGAAAGCAGGCTCTCCTGGGGAGGAGCGTGAAGAGTGGGGTTCCCAGCCAGGCTGTGGCAGTTTGAAGTCAGGTTCACCTGAGTTTAAAAAGAAAGGTGACATTTCTTGCGCCTTAGCGACAGGAAGCAAGCTTCCGTGGCTCCATGGGTGTTGGGTGGAGACCCTGGGAATGGATGATATGCCCCGGGTTAGCCTTTGCATGTACCGTGGGAAAAGAAGAGTGCTAAGGGCCATCTCCTGGGGGCGCCATTGTAGAACTTAAGGCTGTGATGGAAGGCAAGCAGGGAGAGCGCCCAGTCATGGAAGTCATGGCCATTTCATGAAGTGGGGAGGACTCAGCTGTTCAAGGCTGTGGAAAGTTCCAGTAGGATGAGGACTCCCAGGCATGGCGACTGGAGATTCACTGATGTGATTGATGCACCGATGCATGGGAGGTAAGGCTGTGTGTCCCTCATAGCCTTGAACTGCCCCGACGCCCACAGTTAAGCTGTCAGAGGCCACCAGGGCAGGCAGGCACTACCTACTACTGGAGGAGAATTCTTCTGGGGATAGGCAGCTGTCCTCCCTGGGACCTGAAGACACACCCAAACTCCTCCCTCCTAGCTCCCTTGTTTGGTGAAGCAGCATGGAGGTGAGGATCTGACCCTTTAGCTACAAATTCAGTATTTGCTGAGGTCACGGCACGGCAACCAGTGTGCCCTGCATTCCTGCACGCGTCACTCTTTAATCTCGCAACTGCACGTGGGATAGACACACCCATCTTACATACGAAGGAACAGGTAGGTTGCCTTGCCCAAGACCACATAGCCAAGTAAGTGGGAGAGCTGGAACGTATCCCTCCAGGTTCTTGGAGTCCAACTCCAACGCTCTCGCCACTGCAAAGGCGTACAAAGTGGGGATTCTTCAGAGTAGCTTCCTTTTTAGAGAAGAGAAGCCGCTGCCCTGGGACTTAGGGCTTGGACAGAGAAGGTTTCCTGTTGTGTCCACATCTCGTGAGTTGAGCTACGAGGACCAAAGACCAGGCTCTGCCCTCATCTATCTCAGAGTTCTCTTCCACCAAACACCCTGCCTGCATGGGTGGAACCACTGTAGGACTGGAACGGTGTTTACTTCCTGGGCTGGGCGGTAGCTTTGTCAAAGGACAGGAAGTCCCAGCCAGAGCAGAGGAGGTAGGGAATGGATGTCAGGTGCCTCCCAGAGGATGTGCCACCTCTGCCATATTGTTAGGTAGGAAGTCAGATATGAGCTTATGTGTGTGTGACGAAGGCTTAAAGAAAATACATCTATGTCCAGCATATGCATCTCAAAGTCATCCCGATAACATTTCAGGGGCAGCCCAGTATTCACATCCTGCCCTGCTCCCTCCTACCCAATAACCTGCCAGGTGGGGGTCCCCGCCCCTCCTGCCTGATAACCTTCCAGATGCAGCCCAGCATCTGCATTTCAAATACCCTGGTCCAGATCCCGATCCTCCAGGGGGTCTTGCTCACCCTTCCTCTAAACTCAGGACGGCGCCAGCTAGGCTTCCTCCTGTCTGATACCTTCAGGGGAAAACTCAGATAGGAGCATCTTAATATCTACATCCATAAAATCCTTTGTTTTAGGAGGAGATGTGTGAAGACAAAGACCCATCTCCTTAAAAACCCCACCCCGGCCTCAACCGGACTGCACGCTCAGCCCCCTGCCTCTCTGCCGAGCCGCCCGCCTGCCTGCCCAGGTGTGATCTCTCCACTCTACCATGTAACCTCGCTCCTCCTCCTCCCTCCCAGTCTGAGCGACTGGGCACTCTCCCTCAGGCTCTGTCTGGAGAGGTGCCCATCCGTTCTTACGGATGTCCCTGCCCTAATAAACTTTGCTATTTTATTTTTCCACTACTCTGTCTCACGCCTGAATTCTTTCTTGCATGAAGACAAGAACCCTGCCATTTTCCGGTAACAATATCAGTCTAGAACCTGCAGGGAGCTGTGTGTGGGGTGGGGTGCAGTGGGATTCTCTTATGTCTCTGGAAGATATGGAAGAGTCCTGAGTGACAGTTTGCCATGGCCCCCTAGAAATTGTCCACTTGGGATGAGGTAGGGGAGGGGCTGGGGCCTCCTCCCACTCCTGATGCACGTGTCCAAGTTTCAAGAAACTGCCTGGCCACATTAGTCAGCTCTTCATCACAAAGTGCCTGGTGGGGGCTTCTTGGGGAGGAAGGAGATTTATTTCAACTTGTAGTTTTGGACTTCACAGTCCAAGGTTGGGGCCCATTAGCCTGGCATCTGCTGAGGGCAGAGCACGTGCCAGGGGAGGATCACGGGGTGGCCAGGAAGCGCGGAGAGAACACGTAGACCAAACTCAACTTATATGACCAACCCTCTCGCAAGAACCACCTTCTACAGGCATGCCCTAGACACCTAAACACCTCCTCCAGACCCACCTTCCAGACACCATAATTGGATCAAGTCTCCACTCTTAATCCATTAACCACCAGCTTTAACCCATTAGCCATTAACATCAGATTTGGGTTTTAAACATCTGCGTGAGTTGGCGCAGCTCCATCCTGTTCAAACCACAGCACCGAGCCAAGCCTCAGGTCGTGCGACACTCCGAGGGGTGGGCCCCGCCTTCCTGGTGGCGCTGTCCTTTCCTTCAAAGACACGCAGAGCCAGATGGCAGAGCTTGTGAGGTCACAGGAGGGAGGGATCTGCCCGCCGGTGGAAGCAGCCGTGCTCAGAGAGTATGAAGGGAGCTTTTACAATCCGACAGCTTGGATTCAAAGTCCAGCTCGTCCACTCGGTGGTTGGAGGGGCTGTTTTCATTGTTGGCCTTTGTCACCTCTTCTGTGCCCACGGCACAGGGTACACATCAGGTGTTCAGCAAGTGCCAGGCTCATGGTGAACACTCTAGAACATCGGAACTCTGCTGTGGTTATCACGATCATCATTATCATACTGAGAGCTCTCTGCATGCATCTCCCAATGTCCTCTCAATTGCCTCGGGAACAAGGGCTAAGCAATCATGGGAAACAATGGCCCCTGGCAATCCAACCAAAGCCCGGAGGCAGCTGGATCCCCAGAGCCATCATCCACCCAACCCCAGCACACTCCCTTGCCTTCCCCCTCCCTCCCCCGGAAAATTCCATGGAAATTCAGTGGCCCACAGGGCTGGCAAAGCTGGGATCCAGGGACATAGGAGAATGTCACTGCACACCCCTCTCCACACACACAGCTCTGCAGATTTTGGACTGATCTGCAGAGCCCCCTCACGCCCTCCCCCATGATTTTTGTAGCTTCTATGTTCTGGGCCAAAGGAATGTGTTGGGTTTTGTTTTCTTCCCATCCAGCGCCTGCTTTTTCTCTACCTTATTTCCCTGCCTCCCACCCAAACACTCCTGCCAATCAAGTCATTGACCAAGAGAGGAGGGGAAGGGTCTGGTTTCTAGGGAGAAAGCAACAGAAGTGGCCAAAGTCCCGCCACTCTGCCCCAGGCCCGGCCTCTGCCGATGCAGCCGGCGTCCTGCGGTGGGCAGAGCTGCCTGGCAGTCTTGCTTGCTCAGTGCTCACTCCTGCATAGGAACAGCCCACGCTGGCACTCTAGTCCCGCAGCGGGCTAGGCTACTGGGATTGTGGGATCTATGACAGCAGGTAGGTGCTACCCCAACTGGGAAGCCACCTCCCCTACTCTTTCTTGTGCAACTGGCCGAGGAAAGAATCAGAGGAAGGATTTGCTCTGGCATGGATGTGAGAGGCCAAAACAAACTCGAGGTGCCCAAAGGCCAGACCTGGAGAATTCTAAGCTTGCAGCTGGAGGTGTAAGTGTGAGTGCTGGCGCTGCTGAGAGCTGGACATTCACTGGTGGATCATACGGCCGGGGTCAAGGACAGCAAGTGCAGAGCAAGAAGGGGGAGATCTTTCAGAAGAGGGCAACAGCTCCGCCCACCCACTCCCTTGGAAACAGCTGTGCAGCACTGGGGCTTCCTTGTAGACAGGCCTTTTGCTGAGCCAGCAAAGGCAGAGGTGGGAGAGAGGAAGGAGCGGCCTGCCAGGCCCGCCCTGTGCTTTGCGAAGGCTCACATAAGTCTCATTTCAAACCTCGCCTCTGCTGCGAAGCCTTCCGTGGCCTCTCTAGGCGTGGCTGCTTTGTTCCAGGTTCCACTCAGAGCATCCACACTGAATCAGCTTCCATCACTCTTGGTCATGAGCCAGTTCCTTGAGGACACCATTGTGCTCTATGTACCCCCGGAACCTAGCGCGAGTACCCGGCCTAGAGAGGGCCCTGATGTGGCTGGAGAACAAATGATGCAGAGAGCACACCCCAACTCAGAGCCTGGGCTGGTGGCAGGAAAGCTCTACGTCCCACCAAAGGCACCAGTAAAACACCCGACCACAGGTTCTTCAGGTCCCACAATTTTATTGCAGAAGACCATTACTGGGGGACTGTCGCGACATGAGTGTTGCCCCCTCCCTGGCCTTGGTGACAATCGTCAATGTTCCCAGTCCCATCTGAGGCAGTGCCTGAGCCCAGACACCCACAGAGAGGGAGTAGAGTGGGGCTAGGGAGGTATGGGCACCCCCGGACAAAAGGCCAGGAAGGTGCCCACCCTCCGTGGCGAGGAGGCCAGCCACACTGACAGGCTGGTGGGAGGAGCACTGACTCTGAGCCTCAGTGCTCAGCTTTCTCTCCACGGCAGGGGCCATGGCAGGGTCATGTTTCTGGAATAGCTAAGAAAGCGTAAGACGGAGAAAGCTGAGAGAGACCCCCATGTCCCAGGATGGCCCCGGGCACGAGGGAGCTGTCCACCTGGACTTCCCGGGGCTCCTGGGGGCCTGCACAGGAGCAGCCTGCAGCCCTGGCATGCAGAAGAGCCGCTCTCCCTGGGCTGGGTCTGCCGGCCGCCCAGACGCGGGTTTGCTTCCCCGAGTGTCTCACAGAGGCCGACTTTGGCTCTCCAGCAGGGGGACTCCTCCAGTCCCTTCGGCCCGCTCCTCGAAGCCAGCAACATTTTGTAGGGCTGCGGAAGGGCACAAGTCGTATGAGTCCCATAGAGTTCTTGGGGCGACTGATTTTGGAGACGCTTCAAAAATACATGTTTGCATTTCTTAAATATAAAAATAAAATAAACCCTGTGCCAGCAGTTTGTGACCAAACAGGTACCATGGGCCCTGTTCACGGTTGACAGCGTGGTGGGCCACAGCGCCGCCTGGCTCTGGACCACGGCTGGGCGGGGGCGCTGTGCTCACAACACTGAGGGCCTCCTGCTAAGCACAGTCCAGGCACCATGAAGCCGGCGCTCCAACAAAGCCCCTCATCTGTTCTGGGACAGCAACAGTGTCACCAGCGCTGCAGGGGTGATGCCCACTCTGGGCTGGCCCCTTAGTCAGGGTCAGAGGAGCAGGAACTGCCGATGTCACCTTCCGGCCCTTCTCTGGACTCTCTGTTTGTCTGTGGACACTTCTGTGGGAACATCATGGTACCCAGACCCTCATCTGCAGAAAATGCCTGGGATTCTGGGGGGAGCAACAGCTCTCCCGGTTCCTGTAGAACTTGGAAGAGCAGCAACACACACATGTGCACACACTCGCACTCAGACTTGCTCACACTCACACACAGCAGCACATGGTGGAGGGGGGAGTAACGCAGGTGTCCAGAAGACGTTGCAAATGGCCAGGGCCCTTGGGCCGGAGTCTTCCCAGCAGCCAGTGCTGTGAGTAGGGGGGTGGCGGGCAGGACACTGGTTAGGATTTCCGGAAGCGCGTCTCACTCTAGGAGGAAAACAAACAGGAGAGCGTGGTGAGGGTGGGCTGACTGACAGGGAACACAGAAGCCAGCAGGAGGCCCCCGCCTCTGCCCAGCCCAGCTGTCTGCCGGCGCCGCCCCTCTGAGAGGAAGCAGCATCGCGAGAGCCCCGCTGCACTCAGCTTGGCTTCCAGCTGCAGCCCCCTCAGAGCTCCGCCCTGTTCTGCCCTCACCACAGGCAGAGGAGGGAAGGGCTGGGCATCGCACTCCCTGCTTCACAGCTGAGATGAGCAGGGGTGGAGCTGGGTCAGCCAGCTGGGGGCAAATCCCGTTTCCAAGGCTGCTCTTCCTGCCCAGGAGGGAGGCCTCCTGGCATAGTCCATCCTCGGTGGCTGGGGAGGGGACAGTGGTGGGGGCTGGCATCAGTCTCAGCTCACCCTTTGGCCACCCTCTGAGCTCTGCTCGGAGGGAAAGACAGACAGCAGACCCAACACTTGACCCTGCTCAGAACACCTCTGCCTGTACCCCTGGGAAGGCCTGGGCCCCCTTTTGGGGTCCTTGTTTCTAGGGATGCCCAGGCTGCCTGGCACAGTAGCCCTGTGTTAGGCCCTCACCTCCATCTTGCTGTAAATCCAGGAGAGGGCTTCTGTCACTTTGGTGTACACACCGGGCTTGTTTCTCTGGCCACAGCCTGTGCCCCAGCTGGTGACACCTGCCAGGTACCAGCGGTTGTTTTGCTGGCAGACAAGAGGCCCCCCGCTGTCTCCCTGTAAGGGGAGGGAGCACATCAGCTGGGGTGGACACAGGTAAACTCTGGACTGGGAGGGGTGTGACCCCGGTCCACACATCAACCCCAGCATGCCAGCCTTCTCCCACCCCCAGCAGCCTCACCTGGCAGGAGTCTCTGCCCCCACGCAGGTCCCCAGCGCACATCATCCTCGGGGTGAGGTAGCTGTCGTAGACCAGGTAGTCATTGCACTTCCTGAAGTCGATGAGGTTGACCTGCACCTCCCGGAGGAACGGGGATGTCTTCTCTTCAGTGCGGTGGGAGTGGGGGAGAGGGGGCGGGAAGCTGATGAGACTCTGGACCTCCAGCTGCCCCTCCAGGACCGGGGCTCAGCATCCTGGGAGCAGAGGGCATCCTGCCTGTGGCCTCAGCCCAAGGAGGCCCTGTGTGGTTGGACACCAGGACACATGGACACTCACCCCTGTGCCAGACAACTCACTGTGCATCAAACAGAGCCACACACGAGCACACACTTGCAGAGCTCCCCGGCTCCCTGACAGGTGGCACCATGCCCGCATACATTCAGAGCACCATAGTGGCCAGCACTTCACTGGTTTTCAGATGCCAGGTGTCCTACAGAGGGTGGGGCTTATCGGTCCACTCACAGGTGGGGAAACCTGGTGCTGAAGAAGTGCCTTGCCTGCAGCCGAGTGGCTGGGCTCTCATGGAAGCCGGATCGGAAGAGGGCTGTGTCCACCCCATCACCCAGAGCCAGAGAAAAGCAGCCCTGTACCCCGCGACCAGCCTGAGTCCCCGGCGGAACATGATGGCTCTTACAGAACCGACAGCCCACAGAGTACCCTGTGACCCTGATGAAGCCAGGAAAAGTGGCAGCCTTTTCAAACAGGGTCGCAAGGCTCAACTCAGAAACACCCCATGTTTCCTCTCACTGCCACCCCATGGGCCTGCTTCTAGGTGAGCAATCACAACTTGGGAGCCCTCCCTCCTTCTAGAAAAGAGGGCTCAGATTCCCCATTAAACAGTTGCCCGGATTCGTGACAACATCCAGTCTAGAGAAAAGCCCCACATCTCCCCAAGTCCCCCAATGCTGTGATGAACCCTCCGAGCACCTTATCTAGACAGTCCAGGCTCTCCGCAGTGGGTTCCCCCTCCCCCACGCTGCAGCGAGCCTCAGACCCAACTTGTGCACCTGCAGAGGTCCTCCAGGTGGTCTTGCCTAGAGGGCACTGTTACTCCAACTGCGCTGACAAGACACACGGGAGTTGATCCACACACATTTGTAGGCAGCCCATGAATTTATCCACCCAAACCCCTACCTACATAGACTTCATCTGTGTACCCGTCGTCCTTGACATGTACACACATGCACGCACACGCACGCACACACACAGCGCAGCACCTCTGCTCTCACCGTCTGTCTCCTTGGTCTTGCCAAAGCCTGTGATCCAGCAGGTCTCATTGAGACTGAAGGTCTGTCCATGCATGGGGAGGCAGGCAGGGTGGACGTGAGCTGCCGTGAGAGGTCCAGATGTCAGTGAAGGACAAGGCTGGAGGGATTCGGGCGACGGGGCATGGGGGAGCAAGCGTGTTGATGTCCTAGGAGCCCTTCTTGCCACCAGAGTGGCTCTGAATCTTCCAGGTCCTTGTCTCCACCAGGCAAGTAACCCTAACCCTAACCTAAACCCATCACCTTATCTTAACCACCCAGTCAGATTTCCAGAACCATGCTGATCTGAGTCGCTGCCGGGCGGGCACACACAGAGGCTTGGTAGCTCCCTCACGCCAAGCAAACACCTGACCACTGCAGGTCTCTCCCCACAAGCTCGGCTCTCCTGGCTGGGCCTCCTCCATGCCTTTCCCTTGGAGCAAAGAACAGCATCACACTAAGTCCTGGATGCTGACCGTGGCCTCTCAGCCAGGCAACCTGCTGGCTGGCCAGGGTCCGGGGCTCTCCCTGCAAATGTTCACCTGGATCGGGTCCAGATACCTCCCTAAGCAGGAGGGCACAGCCCTAGGCCAAGACCACAAAAGCACAGGGAAGTTGCTCTCACACCCAGAAACACTGAGACGGGGACCTCGAGGACCAGCTCATAAACTCTCCCCAGGGAGCGGTGTCCCTGGATGGGTCATCGTGGACCACCAGACTCCTGTCTGGAAAAGGCAAACGCCGACAGGCTGCTTGCTGCTCCCTCAACTGTTCATTACTGCAGCGTCCTGCTCCTAGAATAGCGCCTGGCTCCGTGAACACGGAGAGAGAGGGAAGGAGGGAGGGAGGGAGAGAGAGAGACAGACAGAGGGAGAGAAAGAGAGAGAGGGAGAGAGGGGGAGAGATACAGAGAGAGAGGGAGAGATACAGAGAGAGAGAGAGGGAGAGAGGGGGAGAGATACAGAGAGAGACAGAGGGAGAAAAAGAGAGAGAGGGAGAGATACAGAGAGAGGGAGAGATACAGCTGGGTAGCATTCCTGAATCCTGGCTTTAGCCTCCTCAGCCCCTGTTAGTGTGGGCATTTAGGGAGTGAACCAGCAGATAAACAATCTCTTTCTCTCTCTCTCTGCCTCTTTAATTAATTCATTGTGTGATTAATTAAAGGAAAGTTTGAGAATCTTCGGATAAGCACGCTGGTGATTCTGAGAGCACAGTGAGCCTGAGACTGGCCTTGGCTGTTGGCTAAGCAGGTTCCAAGTCCTGATCCCAGAGATGCTGATTTAGGGGTGCCTTCTCACGAGCACCCCGGGGGATTCTGGCATGTTCCCCTCGTGTTTCTGGGACAGGGCGTGCCCTTGCATGAGACAAGGCCTTTGCACGTGGTGCTCTTCTTCCCGGAGGGCTCAGTTCTTCCATGCTCTCTCTGGGAGCGCAGCTGGGAACCTTCTCCATCCTGTGCATCCTCACATCCTCACATCCCCAGCATCCTCCTCTTTTTTTTTTTTTTTTGATAGGCAGAGTGGACAGTGAGAGAGAGAGACACAGAGAAAGGTCTTCCTTTTGCCGTTGGTTCACCCTCCAATGGCCGCCGTGGCTGGCGCGCTGTGGCTGGTGCACTGTGCTGATCTGAAGGCAGGAGCCAGGTGCTTCTCCTGGTCTCCCATGGGGTGCAGGGCCCAAGCACTTGGGCCATCCTCCACTGCCCTCCTGGGCCACAGCAGGGAGCTGGCCTGGAAGAGGGGCAACCAGGACAGAATCTGGTGCCCCGACCGGGACTAGAACCTGGTGTGCGGGCGCCACAAGGTGGAGGATTAGCCTAGTGAGCCGCTGCGCTGGTCCCCAGCATCCTTCTGGTCACACAGCATTGTTAGTTTAAGCCTCTCTCACCCACCCAATACTGGAGGGTCTTCCAGGGATCCTGTCTTATTCCTTTGTGTCTGGGTACCACACAATCTCTGGTCCTTGGTCAAAGCTCAGTGAGTGATCTTTGAATAAACGACATTCAGAGGATGGAATGCTCAAGGCAGACCCAGACTTGCACAAGTGGATAAAAGATGTCCATGACCTTCTGCTGGGACCCTCGGAGCCCCTGCCATGGACCACGACTTGGGTGGCAGTGGAGGTGCCTAACTAGTTCCCATCCCAGCCTCCAGCTCCTGGTTTCCAGGTGCTTCTCCTACAGAGAGCCCAGCTGAGATCCTGGACCCTTGCCCCATGACCTCAGACAGCTGGCTGAACCCCAGAGCTACTCAGCTTTAAATCTCAGATGGGCACTTGGTCTAGAAGCCGACATGCCACTTGGGATGTCTGCATCCCACGTCGGAGTGTGTGGGTTTGCGTCCCGGCTCTGCTCCTGATTTCAGCTTCCTGCTAACACACATCCTGGGAGTCAGTGGTGATGGCTCAAGTACTGGGTTCCTTGCCACCTACATGGGGAACCTGGACTGGGTTCTCAGCTTCTGGCTTTGGCTTGGTCCAGCCCTGGCTTTGTGGGCATTTGAGAGTGAACCAGCAGATGGAAGCTCCATCTGTCTGTCTCTCTGTCTCCAAAAAATAAGACAAACCTCAAAACACTCAGCCTAGGATGGAGGAGCAAGATATCTTCTGGTCTGCAAACTGCAGGTTCCACCAAGAAGGCCATTGCTCTCCCTTTCCCCTGCCCTGCCCACCAGCACGGGCTTCTTGGTTTAAAATCTTTAGAGCACAAGATTCTTTTGACTTGATTTGGCCACATCTGTCCCCTTTCCAGTTCCCATTTGTGAGTTTCTCCAGCCAAACCATGACTGATATGGCTCAAAGTCCACCCAAGGGCTTGGCTAACCTGATGTAAAAAGATAAGGCCTGTCCCGTACTCACCTGTCTCAAGAGTGTCACCTGAGAGGATGGTGATGGGACAATTAAATGTGGCAAGGGACACGAGGGTGCTGGAACCACACAGGGGCCTAACACTGTTACAGCTGCACAAATAATTACTTTGGCCTCGTGGGACCAGCTTGCCCCAGACTCACGGGACTCAAAGTGTCCTGAGCTAGTGAGGTCAGTGCGGGTGTCCCAGGCCTTTGCAACACGAGGCCCCCCGGGGGAAGGCTCACCTCTTGAAACCCAGCTGCCGACAGGTCTTTTCGGAGAAGGAGTTGTTCCAGCTGTGGCTGCAGACGGGCAGCCACTGGTGGGAGGAGCCAGAGTAGACTTTCAGCAAAGATGAGTCCCAGTCAAACCTCACTGCCGGGCAAGAAGAGAGGCAGGGCAGATGCTCAGCACCCAGCACCCAGCCAGCCCCTGGGGGAGGAGCTGAGTGAGGCCTCTTGTCCAGAGGCTCCTCACCGAGACCCGAGAGAGGACTGGGAGGCTGGCCTGAGTGGCAGTGGTCAGCCCGCTCTCAGCTGCCCGAGACGGTCAGCAAGGCAGAGCCGGGGTGATGGCTGCGGGGGGCACTGCTGGGATAAGGAGCAGGCTCTGGCAGGAGCGGTGCCCTGAGAGGCCAGAGGTGTGCCCTCACGAGAGAGTGATCGGGTGGACAGGACAGCATCTGTGACGCTCCCAGGCCAGGCTGAGTCACTGACGGCGCAGGCACAGTGCATATGCACCTGCAGGCGGGCCGTCCAGAGTACGCACTCAAAGCCCACCAAGGTCGCAGTGCAAAGCGATCTTTGTGCACATCGAGCCCCGCTGCTTACAAACAGGCCTTCATTTCTTTAGAAAGTAGGGGTGACACTCAGGTGCCACCTGCTGGACAAAGAGGAAGGGCTCCAGCCCCCCTACCCACCGCCTGCCAGAGCTGCTCTGCTTGGCTCAGTCTGATGTCTGGGAGCTGTCAGATTTTATTTGAGAATCAATAACCTTGTCCAACCCACTCATTTTACAAATAGGAAACCGAAGCCCATAGAAGGTAAGCGACTCATCCTGGCTACACAGCACTCAAAATCGGGTTTCAAATCCAAGTCTGCTGTGAGTAGAACCCAGATCTCCAGACACCCTGTCCCTTGCCTCCTGTTTGCGCTGACACAAATTTGCACCACAGTTTGAAGCCACATGCATACACACAGGCACACACACAACCATGCAACGAATGTAAACAGTGCACACATAGCATGCACACACACACATGCACACACGTGCTCGCCCATGCCCACCTCCTTACCACAGCCCAGCTCGTCACTCTGCAGCTTGCAGTCCACCACCCCATCACAGCGAACGGTGTGGCTGGGGCAGCTCTCCACCGGCTCCTTGTACTTGATCCCCGTGTGGCCCCGCCAGAAGTGGACTGGAACAAAGGAAGCAGAGCCTGGGTCACTGCCAGCCCCAGTGACAGGACTGTAAGTAGCCCAAGGCCCTGGGGGTTCGGAGACACCGACCTGCGATCCCTCTTGAGCTCTGGGGCTCTCGTCCCCCATCTGCATGGAGAGAAAGGCTGCTCAGGCCTGCTCTGGAATGCTCCAGAAAGCTCCTGCAGGCAGGGCAGCACCAGGCAGACACGAGCAGCCAGCCCCCCGGAGAAAGAAAGAGGAGAGTGGGGAGGGAGGTGGAGGTGGGTACCACTGTGGCACTGCGGGGGCCTCTCCACCTACATGCTGGCCAAGGTGGTGGCCAGAGGGGCTACCTCCTGCCCCAGAACCCCCTCTCAGAGCCACCTCCTCGGTGCTCTGCTGGGCCACAGCAGAGAACTTCCGTCCTCACAGTCACACAGACACTGCCTGGGCTGACCTCTCTGCCCCCACCCCCCCACCGGAAGCACCTGGCCGTTCTTCCTCCTCCCTCTCCGCTAAGCAAGGGTGTCTCTCTGTGCAGCCCTCGCCCCACTGCCAGTCTTATGGCTTTGAAAGGCTCCTCACTCCATGAGCAATCCAGGCAGCTGATTCCCGGATGCACAGAGTCTGGAAGAAAACGACTTTACAAACCACCTGAGCGATCAGCTCCCTGCCACCCTCTGAACACCAGTCTCCATCCAGGCCGGGAAATGCTACCCCACTGCTCGGAGATGCCTCCCCCTGGGTGCCCCACAGGCCTGGGCTCCAGCTCCTCTTCCCGCCTCTCAGCCTCAGCCCCCACTCTCACTGGGCCCTTCACGCTCTTGGTTCCCCAAGGTCAAGGCCGCCTTGTGAGATGGCCCTTCCAGGTCTTCCCCCCTTCCATGCCCTGGATGCTGACCCTCCAGCATGCTCACGAAGCCCACAGCCTGGTGGCCTTGATGGGCAGAAGGGAGAACATGGAGTGGTGGGGTGAGGGGCAGGGGCCTGGCTCTAGTCCTGACCCCCCACCCATGTAGCTGCTATGCAGCCTGTACAGTCGCACCACCTCCCTGGCCCTGGGAGGTCTGGAGGCCCTGCAACAGGGAATGCTGGGAGCTCTGCCTTGAGAGCTATCGTTCCATTGGGCGAGCCCACCCGTGAGTGCCGTGTGCCCCTCCAGGAGCCACTTCCCATGCTCTCATGGAGCGGGGGTCCTGTGGTGAGGAAGCGGGGCTGGGCGGCAAACACCAGCTGGGGGTATCCCATGGATGCCATGTGGCAGGTGCGGAGACCTCCACGTGCCCTGTGACAGTGACTCCATTGCCTGGGCAGCGGGTGGGGAAACTGACGCCCAGAAAGGCCATTAACTGGCGGGTCACGCAGCCGGCAGGTGCGGAGCCTGGATCCCTGGGCAGTGTGCATGGCACCCTGCCTCCTCTCACCCAGTCCTCTTCCTCCTCGGGCCCTGCCAGCCGGCAGCTTCCCTGTCCCGCCCAGCCGGCCCCTCACTACACCACAAGGTGCTGCTTCTTGAACAAAATCCTTACTCCTGGGCCTGGCGGTAAAAGCTCTCTGCCACGGGCCCTGGCCTCATTGAACCCAACAGGCAAACGGCCCCTGGTCCCCAAATGTGTCTTCTCCTCTCTGGCTAGGTGGGTCCCTTCTCCCCCTGCCAGCCCTGCCCACCTGGTCTCCCACACTCCCTGTGGCTGTCCAGGTCCTAACTGCTTGCCTGGTCCTCACCTGGGGCCCTGCACCCAGCCCTCAGCTGTCACATCTCCCTCCATCACACACAGGTGCAGGTGGCTGGAATTCTGCCCAGCTCTGTAGTCTCCCTGAGGACATGGTGGGCATACGCGTGGTCACTTCTGCTCCTCCTACGATTGCCCCGTGAGCCGGGGTGCTGGAGGACTCCTTAGCAGTGAGCCATGTGCATCTTTTCCCAAGAGAAGGGGGATCGACACAGACCTTGGACACCTGAACACTGAGCGGCTTATCCTTACTAAATGAGTGCCTCTGCAGGGCTTCCCCGTGTTTTCACACTGGGCTGTTCAGTTTGTAGCTAGCCCTCGCAGGCTGAGGTTTGGGGCCATGCCTATATCCGTCTCCATCTATTCCTCCTAACCCAGTGAAGCTGGGATGAGGTCTTTGGGGCACAGAGCAGGCTGAAGGAATGCATGAGCTTGATCCCACCTGGAGGTGTGGGAACTGCACTCAGAGTGGTGCAGTCACTTGCCCATGTCAGTAGCACAGACGGGACCCAGGCCAGGAACCTGTGACGTCCCACACCCTTCACCCGGCCACCTTGCAGGAGCCAGGCAGCACTGTGATCCCAGGCCATTTGCAGGAGTGTCTCTCTGTGGACCCAGCCTGTGGTCCCCCACTCCCCCCAACCATGTCCAGGACCCTACCCCTCCGTTCGACTCACAGAGAACGATGAGCGAGACCACAAGGGTGATGAAGAGGAGATGCACCCGATGAGTGGCAGCCGCTTCTGGCCCTCCTGCCAGGAGAACTTGGGCCCGCTGGTACCTAGGAGCAGGGCAGTGGTGGGGGCGGGTGAGGCCGTGGGGGAGGGGCCAGCACGGTGTGGGAGGGGAAAGGAAACACCTGTGCAGCCCAATACAACCACATCCCTGCCCAAGTCCTTGGGTCCTGCACCCGCATGGGAGACCAGAAGGAAGCACCTGGCTCCAGATTTGGATCAGTGGGGAGCACCAGCTATAGCGGCCATTTTGGGGGTGAACCAACGGAAGGAAGACCTTTCTCTCTGTCTCTCTCACTGTCTAACTCTGCCTGTCAAAAAGAAAAAAAAAAGCTCTAGGGCATCTGGTGCCTCTGTCTCCATCCCTCACCCACTGCTGGGTGTGGAAGCATCGGATGCTGTTACTAAGCAGATCAATTAAAAGTCCTTGTCCACAGGACAAGGTCAGCGTGGGCCAGGTCAACAGCATCAGCTGTGCCAAGTAGGACTTTGTGGCTTTATCCTTAAAATTCCTTCTTCGGGAGTGGAAGGTAATTGGTTTGGTCCCTTCCCTGTTCTGGGGCTGTGAGACGAATTCCAGGAATTCTGAGTTGCTGACCACACTCAGCTTGCCAGAGGCAGGAGCAGGCACAGTCTCCCAGCAGGTTCTGGGGCTCATGGGTGGACATGCGGGAATACGCATGAGCCCGATGTCCCACTGGCTGTGCGGGGGCTGTGCAGGGCATGCTTGTGTCTGTTCAGGGGCCTGACGGTCATTTGCTTCTGCTGCTGACCTAGCTGACCAGGAGCTGGGGGCTCCTTCTCATGACCATCGCCTGGGCAGAGACTAGATTGCCATACAATGAAGACAGGCTAGCTGCAGCAGCTTCAAGTGGAGCAGGACTGGGCCTGGGGGCAAGGAGAGAGGGAAGTAGAGAATGCACCCATCGAGTCAGGCAGACCTGGTCCTGGCTGGGTTTCTCACTCAGGAGCCCTGTGACCCTGAGCCAGCCACTTAACTCCCTGGGCCTTTTTCTTCATCTGCAAAACAGGACTGATAATGCTTGGGAGAGCCCCTTCCGGTGCCTGGCACATAGCAGGCACATTACATGGGACTTGGCTGCTGCTCTTGGCCTTGGCCTGGGCACACACAGTACTACCCGTGCTGGGACCGAACAGCCACGAGACAGCATTGAAGGGGCTGACAGGTGGTATGAGCTCATCTTAAGGAGAAAACAGGACGCTGGACAAAGGCCAGACTATGGCCCTTCCATAAGAGAGACAGCTCCGGCCATGTAAGGCCTTGTACTTCCCAGCAGCCGTGGCCTGAGCCTTGGCACCTGCCGGGCACCCTGGTGCTGCACACCTCCACTGGCCTGCCGGGCTCTCCCTATAAGCCTGCCGCAGCTTAACAGGAAATGCCCGTGATTCAGGCCAATAAAATGCTAATCTCACACATGCATATGTTGTTTTCAAGTTTACGATACACTTTCACATCTGCGGCCTCGTAAGGTCCTCCTCACGTCCCTGGGATACCGGTACTTTGAGAAGCCCATTGCACAGAAAAGAAAGTCAAGGCTCTGAGCTCAGGCGGCAGAACCACACAGTCAGGATCCCACCTCCAGCCTGCGTCTGGGTCCCCTGCCCCTGTGGAGTAGGAAGGAGACCCTCCTGCTGAGTCTTCTCCCTGACACGCGTGCACTGGGCACCCACGTTGCACCTGGGCCTTGGCATGTGAGCTCGGGTCTGGTACCGTACGGGGTCAGGAGCACCATGGGGAACTGGGGGAAGGGCTGGAGGGTCCCTGCAAGGCTCTTGGTCTCATGGTACTCTCCAGCATCCATCAAGGTTGGGCCCTGTGGCCCGCCAGGATTGGGCAGAACCTGGTGACCTGGAGCAGCAGGGCTAGAGTGACCATGCTGCAATCCAGCCCCACCCTGACAGGGCTGCGTGACACCGAGCAAGTGACCTCACCTCCTCACATCTCGGCTTCCTCATTGGTAAGGCCGAGCTAATGACCATGCCCTAGTCATTGGCGATGGATGCAAAGCGCCCACTGCACAGCCAGGGCTGGTTACATTAGCTGGGACGGCAGGGTGGGTGGGTGGGTTGAAGAATGCTGGGCTTGAAATAGAAAGATCTGCGACCCCGCCTCACTGGGTTACCTTGGACAAGCGGCAGACCCTCCATGCATGTCAAATGGGCAGATCCCACCCCTCCAGGGCCTGGGTTCTAACCAGGCTGCCAGGAGCAAGCTGAGTCTCCGGCAGTGGTGTCACAGGTGCCCACAGGCACAAACCTCCTCTCTTACAGGGGCTTATGATTTGCAAAGCTTCACACCCATTATTTCTTTTGATTCTTACAAGGTTCCCACCCCTGGTGTGTTAGAAGGCTCTTCCAAAGGATCATGGAAAATGGAATTTAAAGATAAGTTTATTTTGGTGCAAAGAAACATTTGAAGGGAAATGCTAATTACCTGATGCCAACAGTTCACACAGCTGCACTTGGTATTAGGAGTTAATTGAAACTTTGAAATTAAAATTAAAGACAAATTGGGTTGAAATCCATACCTAGCTTTCTTAACACACGTTCCCCATGCACTCTTTGAAGTTCCCTTGTTTGTGGGGATCTGGGCCTCAGAAGGACTAAGTGGGAGCCTGGGCCCCTGTACCAGCTGGCAGGCTCAGGGCTGTGACACAGCCCTCTCATTCCTCGTCCAGTGCATAGGCCATCTCCACCCCAGCTGGATCCGGTGATCCATCCCTGTCACCCACTCATGGTGGCCAGGGACGAAGGGGCCAGGAATGAAGGAGCCAGGCCTGGAGGAGACAAGAGGTTCCCCAGGGTGGGAGGTCCCAGAGGCGGGGGAGGAAATTTGCCCAGAGAAGGAGGTGGGGGTGGCCAGGCACCCAGGAGGCCAGGAGCAACTGGAACCGGCAGTACTCCCCTGGGACTGAAGGCTCTGGGTCAGGGACAACTCAGCTGTGGTCCTGGAGAGCCTGACTCTGCTATCAGCTGGGGGAGGCAGGTAGACAGAGGCCAGCCCCTGAGACCAGGGCAAGAGGGAGGTCTTGCACTGAAGCCCCGAGCGAGGGCTGCCAGCTGGGGACATCGGGAGGAAGCAGCATCCAGAGTGGGGCTGTCTGCTCCATCCTCCCTCCAGCTCTGAGCCTCAGCCCCAACCATGGCGGGATGTTGAAAGAGCTGTTATCTCCAGCAAAAACGTAGAGGCCCAAAACAGTGTGCTTTGCCCAAAGTTGTTGAAGTTTATCTTATAACAAAACCCAGACCTCCTGCTCTGAGCCTAGTGCTCTCTGTATCACAGCTTCTAGAGGCTGGGGTCCTATGGAGGCTCTGTCTCTTGGGATCGCCCACCTGCTGGGGGAGGGGAGTAAGTCAAGGTGTTGGCATCCTGCCCTTGGCCTCCCCTGGGGCAGCCAGCATGCCAGGGAGGAGCGGGGTGATAGCATAGCTGCTCTGGGGGTGGCTTCATCTCAGTGGTTCTGTGCTGCTCCTGTGGACGGAGCCCTGGTGCCATGCAGTGGCCTGGGCTCTGGGCAAGATGAGCAGCAGTCATTGTGAATCCCAAGTGTGCAGTGGGGGACACATGCAAAGCTGTCCTGCTGGATCCAGAGTGACATGGCAGTGGTGACAGCGAGGACACCACCTCAGCACCCCTTCAAGTCCAGTCTAAACTGAGCCTCCCTGCTGGGCTCTGGGCAACACCCTGGGGAGCAGGAGCCAGTGAGCACACCTTGGAGTAGCAAGGACTTTGGAAACCTCTTATCTGAGCCCTGTATCCCATTGACGAGGCCATGAGGGCCCAGAGAGGCTCTGGCTTGCCCAAGGTCATGTAGCCAGTTGAAGGCCACACCAGGACTAGAACCCTGGTTCCCTCCTTGGGTTGTCACCTCTGGCTATCACTCAGTGCTGTGCTCTGCCACTGCCTACCCCCTTAAAGAATGCCCTTCCACTGACCTTGGCCCCTGTGGCTTCTTGTATTCCCAATGACCCTGACGTTCAAAGCGCTGGGCATAGGTGGGGTCATGAGCCAGCTCCCTAGAGCTCTGGGGTGGGCTAAGCATGAAGAGGTGCCTGGCCCACCGGCCCTCCTGGAAGGTCAGGGCCTGAACACAGTCCTCACCTGTTGAGAGCCCAGGTGGCTGGGGGTGGGGGGCTGAGCTCATCCCAGCGTGGGCCTCCAGGCTGTCTCCCCCATCTCCTCCCAGAACCGAGAGAATCCCCAGAAACGCAGGCTGTGAGATCCCTGCACTCCATGTACCCAGCACCCCCACGTACATGCAGTGTCAGCCTCGGGGGCCTGGGCGGCCTGCAGTCACACTGGGCTCATGCTAGGGAGCCAGTCCACAAGACATCCCCTGCCCCAAGGCGGGGCACCGCGAGTCTTCTCTTTGCTCTCCTCCAGCCTCTGGTCCCTCTGCCTATAAAGAAGAGTCTGCATGACTGTTTTCAAACAAGGTGCCACACAGCATGGCAAGCTCCCCAGAGGTGCTTTGCAGAGCTGCGGTGGGGTACTGAGCTGTACCCCCTCTCCAGCAGAGCAGGGCCACACAGCCGACCCCACATAGGACTGCATTTGAACCAGCGAGGCAGCTGCTGTAGAGAACTTGGCCAGCACCTCCTGCATGTGTTAGAGTGAGTTTACTGTGCCTCCTGTACCCTGGGAGATCCCTGTTGCATCAGAATCAAAACACCCCCCTAATTCATTCATTCATTCATTCATTCATCATCAAATACTTCAAAGAGCATTGAGTACCCCTGACCGCCAAGTGAGCTGGATTTGATCACCAGGAACCAGCTGCCTCCGTTTCTCCTGTGCCCCTGTCTTCCCACCCTGCCAGCGCTGGGTGACGGTGCAGCTCAGGGCGGGTGGACAAAGAGGGCTCCCCCGCAGAGGGGCCGGCTTCCTCAGGGGTGCTGCCGAGGCTTCCACTTGGCTGACAAGGCCAGGTTCCCTGTGGCCTTGTCGCCAAGGTCTGCCCCACCAGCACCCTGCCCACCTGGCTGGGCACAATCCACCTCCGTGTTTGCTGCACCGAGAGGATGCTGTTTGGCCAAAACAAGACACTTAAGCTAAGTGGCCATTAGTACATCACCCAGCCCGGCCTGGAGTGCATGCACACACACTCCTACACATTTGCCCTCACGCCTGCCGGGTCCCAGGGGCCAACACAGTGGAGCGTGCCAGGTGGGAGGCTGCTCAGCACTGGTGACAACGTGAACCAGAGGTCTCAGATGAGGGCGACATGCGAAGGGATGGCACCAGGGGTCTCGAGGGTGCCTGCGTTTGGGGGCTATGGTCTGACCCACAGGTCTGCCACCTCAGGAATCTGCCAACCCCCCTCTGGGGAGGGTGCCTCATCCTGGACCAGCCCTGGGCCCCTAGACACTCCCACTAGTCTACCCCATCCAGGGTCTTGGGCTCGATGAAAACCCTTACCAGTCTAAGACCAGGAAGAAAATCCTCTCTACAAAGCGTAGATGCTTTCTCAACGAGTCTACTTCAGCTCTTGCATACACATGGCAATTCTTGAAACAGCAAAAATGGGGCCCAGATGAAAAAGCCAGCAAATGCAGTATTTGTCAAGAACAAACGCATATATCCAGTATGGCGCACCTGTAATCCCTCCTGATAGCCCCGGAGACTACCATGGAACCCAAAAGGAGCTCCTGGGGGGCTCTGTGTCCCAGCGTCTTCTTTGGTAGGCAGGGAAACTGAGGCATGGAGAGATGACACTTGCCCAAATTTAGATCCAAGAACAGACTCTCGATGGTGATGAGGATGGAGATCCTAAATCCTAACACTCCGAATGCCTTTGTGTCTCTATGCATCTGTGCCGAATGCTGTTCCAGAAAAGCCTCCTGTATGAAAGACCCTGTTGCAAGGCTTCTTAAGGCTGGCATTATCATCATCCCATTTGTCAGATGAAGAAACTGAGGTACCCATGCTGACCCGGGAGCTGGTTTGTTCTCTGTCCACCACAACACGTGGCTGTCCCTTTGAATGTGGCAAAGCTGAGAGCTGAGTCCATCTCTCTCCCAAGCTCCCTCTGCACACCCAGCGGCTGCCACAGGGCACACCAGACTTCAGCTGCTGACCACCCTCTTCCTCACTCCTTCTTGGAGCAGAGGGACAAATCCACAATGCGCCTCTCCAATAAAGGCCCCGGGAAAGCCCAGCCTGAGACGACGAGTTGCTCCCAGCCTGCTTGTTTTCCATCCATCTAAGACACCTACCTGCTGCAGGGGAGATTGAGAGCCCAACCCCAGCCCTCCCTGCCTGTATGTCAGGCTCACTATGTTGGGGTCCCACCCTAAAGAGGGGGTACATCTGAGAACCTTGAATAAGGATGTGATGGCTCTGTTCTTTCATTCCAAGGTAAGAACCAATGACCTCCCTTCCAGAATGAATGCGGCCCCTACCATTCCTTCAACGCTTCATTCATAAATGAACTGGGAGTCCCCATCAATAATTCAAAGTCTGCTCCTCACCCTGTGCCCCTCCAGTAACCTTCCATGTGGGTGCACAGCTCCGGACAGAGGCGCGGGCCTCCTCGCTCTCAGCCTGCCCTAGGAACAGACTGTCTGCCTCTGATGTGAGCAGAGCCTTCTCCCAGATGGCTCAGTCCTTCTCCCACTTTGGGTGCAGGGACCATCATGTTTAGGCTCCCGGCAGGGCACTCGGGAGGATGCTCCAGGGCCGTGGGGGGACTCATCTCCCCAAGCTGCAGATAAAACCCTGGGCGTGCCCCTTGTCTGCTCACCAGAGGCCCAAAGAGGCCCAAAGATCTTGGGCAGGAGGAGATGTGAGCCCAGGAGACCAGAGCAGAGGAGGGACAGCAGCCCGGGGAGGAAGTCAGAGGGGGCTGGAAGAATAGTGGGGAAAATTATGGAAAAGGTTGCAGAAAATAGCTGGGGTTCAGAAGAGACACAAGCCAACTATACACAGGACATAGAGTACACTGATCTTTCTCAAACCCAGGGCTGGCCCATCCTTCCCAGAGTCCCAGATTTACCTGCTCAGCAAAGCACAGAGACCGTGGAGTGCAGCAGAAAAGGAGACCCGCAGGGGAGTGGGAGTGCAGGCGGTCTTCCCGCGAAGGCACGAGCAGAGGCACGGGGAACTCGAGCTCCCGGAGGCTCCACGTGCCTGCCTGGCCCTTCCTCGGAGGGCCCTCTGGCTGCCGTCTACCACCCCCGAAGAAAGGAGCCTGAGTTCTGGCAGAGGGATTGTGGTTAAATGTAAGGGAGGACTTCCCAAGCACGAAGGCTATGAAGCCCAAAGTAAATCATCGAGAAAGACTGGAAAAAAGAAAATCCACTTTTAAAGCACACAGAAAGTCCTATTTTTCTGGGAAGGTTTAGGAGCCGAGGGAGGGAGGGAGATGAGATGCCGCTGAGGACCAATTAAAATGCTTTTGATCCTCAAGGCAGTGAGAATCTCCCACAGCTGGGGCTCTCACCACGCAGATGCCCTGACCATAGGGCTCATGGACCACAGGCAGGGGCCAGGAGTCAGCCCTGGGTGCCCGCCGACCAAGCCCAAAGCCTCCAGCTTCTCTTCCCGGGCGCTCCTTCCAGGAACCATGATCAGAGGAGCCTGGAGATCCTGATCCCCGGCAGTGTACCACAAGCCGAGGCACTTCCAGTTCCCCTGAGAACCTGTGGCGCAGTGTGCCAGCGCCCCACCTTTCTCCCTGTCCCAGCCCTGCTCCCCGGCGCCCACAGACACACTCACCGGGCGGCTGCCCCTCTCCATGGTCTCCGAGCAGGCAGCCAGTGTCCCGGCTCAGCTGACGGCGAGGGGAAGACCCATGTCGGCCCCTGGGTTCTCGGGCCTGTGGGGAAAAGGGGCTTCCAGGGCTGAGGGCCGGCCCCCAGCCAACGGGGCGGGGAAGCCGGCTGGGACGTGTGAGGTAATCCTGAGTGTAGTATAAACAACACAGAACTTGCCAGACCTGTCCCTCCTCCCCTGTCCGGGGCCATCCCAGTTACTCAGCGAATACCCAGTCCTGGGGGTGTGAGGCTGCCTCTCGGCCTGAAACTACCCCCCCCCCCAGCAGCCTCTGGGGCTCCCTGCTGCCTCTTGGAGAGGGGATTCTGAGACAGGGCAGGTCCTGTAAGGGTGCCCCAAGCCCTGCTAGGGTGATCCCGTCCCCATAGGCGATGTCCCAGGCCAGGCAGGGCAATGGACACCTTCAGTGCCAAGGACTGTGGGTCCATCCCAGATCAGAGCAAATCTGTGGTGTGGCAGGTGTTTTTCTAGAACTCGGCTTATCCCCATGATTTTTTTTAAAGTTTGTTTATTTATTTGAAAGGCAGAGTGATTGAGAAGGAGAGACAGAGAGATCTGAGTTTTACTCCACAAATGACCTCAACTGCTAGAGCTGGGCCAACCCGAAGCCAGGAGCCAGGAGCTTCTTCCAGGTCTCCCATGTGAGTGCAGAGGCCCAGGCACATGGGCCATCTTCTGCTGCCTTCCCAGGTGCATTAGCAAGGAGCTGGATCCGAAGTGGAGCAGCCGGGACTTGAACCAGCACTTGGATATGGCAAGCTGGCATTACAAGTAGTGGCTTAACCAGCTGTGCCACAACGCCAGTCCCTTTCCTTGAAAACTTTTAAAGAAATTAAAATCAAATGACTTTTAATTCTGCACACAATGAATTGCCTCTATTGAAAACAATAAAATGTTATGAAACAACACATCAGCCCAATTAAAATAAAACACACAAATATCTGAAAGGGAGCCATTGCCAGAAATACTGGGCTGACTCACGGCCCCACGCCCCTGCTTCACTCTGATCTTGAGTCAAAGAAGGATCGGAAGTGGGGTTCAGTGCCTCCCGACCTGATAGAGCACTGCTGAGAACCGCAAACCAAGGGGTTGGGTCCACTTGCAGAGGAATTTCCCTGACCCTGAGCATTTGGGGCCCTAGGATTCTCAGGGTTTGGGAAGCTCAGAAACTGTCCAGTGGGCCCACCTCGCTTTATGGGTGAAGGTGCAGGGCCAGGAAGGCTGAGGACGCTGCCCTGGTCACATAGAACAAGCAATAGCAACGGCGGTCACAGTGAACTGCGGGTGTCATGCAGGTGCTGGTCAGCTGACAAGTATCCGTGGAGTGCCTCTTACGGGCCTGGCCCTGTCCTAGGTGCTGGGGAGACAGAGCACAAAACAGGCCACGGCTCCTGCCCCATGGTGCTAGTGTTTGGGGCAGGGGGAGGCAGACAGAACCAGCAGGTCCGCAAAGCAGTGCGCGTGAGTCAGAAAGAGGGGTTGGCTGCGAAGAAGAGCTGAGGCGGGGCAGCAGTGGGGGGAGGCAGAGACCCAGAGCTGGGATTCCAAGCAGCGTGGCAGGGACAGCCTCTCTGAGATGAGCCTCTCTTGAGCCAGAACTTAGAGGGACTGATTCTTATGCCCCCCAGAAAGTTCTAGCTCCAAAGGGAAGCTGCCTGCTCCAGCATAGGGCATCCCGATGGAAAGGATGCACAGGCAGAACTTCTGGAGGCCCCAGGGCCCACACCTCAGGGGTCTCTCAGTTTTGGGTTATTTTGGGGTGCCACATCCCAGGCTTGCAAAGACCAGCAGAACCCAGCCCCCCACTAGCCCCGCTGGCCGCCCAGCCAGTGCAGAGCAGAGGCCGGCGTGCTGTCCTCAGCTGTTTCTCCTCCCTCCCTGCTAGGGAGGCCCCTGGCCCCACCTCTGACTGCCACTGAGCCTCGGCACCCACAGGCCAGGCCCGAGGGCCCCCACTCCACCCTCTACCCAGGGTACTGACCCCTGAGAGTCACCCCCAGCCTCCTTCCCTGAAGGTCCCTCCCACCTATCTCTCCAACTTGGGGTTCTGGCTGGCCAGGAGGAATGATCCCAACTCCAAGTTCAAGGCCAGCGCTGTGAATTTGGAGGTCTACAGACGCACCATCTGGAAAATGATGATGATGCCCAAGAATGCACCCAGCACTGGGCGCTGGGTGGGCTCAGAAGGAATGCCGGGTTTATTTCTTCTTTTTTTTCCTTGGTTTCCGTGAGAGCCAACTCCCGGCCTGGAGTCCTTGCTGACCAAGCCACCCCCAGGCGAAATCTCTGCCAGCATCGGCTAGTTCAGTAAGCGCTGGCTGCTCAGCACCAGGCCCCGCGGGAGCTGCTGACGGGTAGGGATGGCAAAGAACTGAGAGGCAGGGCTGCTGCCCTGAGAGGACACATGGCATGCGCGGGGCTGCAGGCACGCTCAGCGTGATGCTGCTTGGTGGTCGTTTTCCTATATCTGGAATGAAAGGAACTGGAGCAGCGTAAGACCTGGGTCCCGCCTCCAGCAGAGCTGGCCTTGGAGACCTGCTCCTGCCCTTGCCCTTGACTCCTGTCGCTGACCTTGGCCCTGACCTTCCTGGCACCCTTTGTCCAGTGTCCTTGTTCTCCTGACCACACAACCCCAGCCTCCCTCTACAATGCCCCCCTCCATGCCTCCCACAGCCCCCTCCGATTAATCACTTGCGGACTCTGTCACTGCCCTCCTCCCTCCAGTTGTCCAGCTGCCTTCTGGAAGGACACGTGGCTGGCCCTGAGCTGTCTGCAGCACTGGGGACTCACCCCGAGGCCAGCCACCAGGCCCTGTTTCCTGCCTCCCAAGCATTTCCAGCTGGGTAGAGGGAGTTTTACACACACACGACATCGGCTGTGCAAGCAAGCTCATGCCCCACCACAGCGGCCAAGAAGGTGGAGAGAGAAGACAACCTCTCTACTCTTTCGAGAATGAGCCCCTAGCTCTCTGCTGTCAGCGCTACTGCAGCTGCCACTGCCCGATGCCTTGGGGACTCCTTCCTGGGGCTCCAGCCCAGGACACAGAGCTCCTGGCCACTCTCTGCCCAGTTCCCAGCTCAGGCAATGGATGCTCCTCTTTCCCTTCTGAGTTACCTCCCTGACTCCCTCTTGGAGCCCCGAGTGCCCTTTGGCCATTGCACCCCGCTTCCACGCTTCTCCACCACTCAGAGCTCCACGTGTGGATTCCCTGCAGGCCTGAGGACGGCCAGGACACAGACAGCTGCCCAGAGGCCAGGCCGGAGACACTGAGCCCACTGTCCAGAGGGGTGTCACCCAGAGACCTTCCCCTCCTTCCGACCAAGCCCAGTGCTCGGCCCAGCCCCAGGCGGGGCAGGTCTGGGTCTCACCGCGCATCTGCCCACCAGGCCCTCAGAGGAGGCTGGCCCTGCACTCTTAGTTCCCTGGACTGGGGCTGGATTATTCTTCCTGCTTTCCCCTGAGGCTGGGCAAAGGCGAGTGAGCAAGGCGTTCTCCTGGCTGCAGGGTAGAAGGCGGTGCCCAGACAATTTAAGAAGCAATGCACTTTAACGCAATATTTTGAAAAAATCAACATTTGTGCAAAAAAGCCCATGACGAGCAAAACATCCAAGTGTAAATAAAGACAAGATCGGCTTTCTGCCCACCTGCCCGCTTGATTCCTCCCAAGTTCCAGGCCTCATGCGCCATCGCGATTGTTCCTTCTGTGCTCCGCAGGCTGTCCCGATACAGCCTGGCGAGGGGAGAGAGACTTCAGGGCCTTCCCAGGGGGAGGGGCTCCCCTGCACAGAGCAGGCCCCGCCCCGGCGGGCTGCTGTGCTCACGGTGAGCGCCCACCCTGATGTCGCTGTTTTCCTGAGGCGTTTGCGGTCCTTGTGATCTACTTCATCTTCGTTGTGGCTGAACAGGAGTCCTCAAAAGGAAGCTCACCAGTGCCTCGTTGGCCATTGCTTCCAATCTGTCCTAAGATTTGTGTTGCTAATGAACAAGACAGTAAGTGTAACAGGATACGTCGCAGACGGAGCGTACAATTAAGTGGGCTCTGACAGACGTACAGGTCCATGTGACCACCTGGCGGTTAACATCTAGAACATTCCTATCACCTCAAAAAGTTGCCTCCAGCCTCTTGAGGTCCATCCTGGCCCCAGGGAACCGTGGATAAGCTTCCTATGACTGGAGCTGACTTTTCCCTTTGCTGGACACATAGACACACACGTCCATCTGCCCCAAGACTTGTGCACTTGCAGAGCAGAGGGCCCCTGCCCCAGGACTCCCAGCAGGCACTGGGCGGGGCTGCTCCTGGCTGTTGTAGAGGAATGCCAGGTGGGATGGGGGCGTGGCTATGTCAAGCTGCGTCCAGGGAGCCTAAGCAATGCCCTGGCCCCCGCTGGCCTCTCTGGCAGCCCTAAGGCAGGCTCACAGGGTGGCGGTGGCTCTGTAGACACTGGTCCTCTTAGCTCGGGGACAGGGACAGGGGAGGGAGAAGGACAGGCACTCCCAGGATGGGGAACCAGAAGACCCCTTAGTGACCCCTCAGCAGGTCTGGGGCTCAGAGTCTAGGACCCCTAGACCCGGCAGCCATCATGCTGCTCCTGTCTTAGAGGTCACTGCCTTTCTGTGCCTGTCCAGGACAATAGGGGATGAGAAGGACCAAGACCTGCTCTTCCCCATGATCATCCATGTTCTCATCTCGTGGGACCCCTGGCCCTCGGCATGCACCATCTCTGCCTCCTTGGAGCGTGGGAAATGAGGGAGGCCAGCTCTGCCCTCCAGGGTGCCCAAGGCCACAGTGGCTGGGAACTCTAGGTGGACCCTGTGTGACACCCCTGCTGGTAGCTGCCCAACCTGTACTTGGATGGTTCCAGGGAATGGAATACATCATCACCCATCCGGGCAAAGTTCTGACACCTATTTCCAAAGCAGGCGTTGACACAGGGGCTGTTCCCTGTGATTCAACCAGACTCCTC